TGCTGTTATGCGAATTTCGAGGACAAATAAAAAGTCATATACCTACATTATTTATATGATAGGAAATTTTAGTTTTCGAGAGAAGATGACATCGATATGTAATCTGTATACTTTATAAATAGATGCAGTATATTTGTGTGTGTTTATTTTTCATTTGGTTGTAATATAATGCAACTGAGAAATTTGTTGCTTATTTGTTTTTTCAGCTCATGCTGTTAAAGCCTCGTTTATTTGCTTCAATGGAAATATATCTATTTTGTCTAAATTTAGTTGACCGCTCTGAACCATTCTAATCCGAATACGATAAGTATCCGGTGGAAACATGAAACATCCTCGAATATCCCATTCATTAAACATTATCTCCTCATATGAAAGAGATAGATTGTTGTCAATGAAATCGCCCAACACTGCTTTGCCGCCAGGCCTTAAGCAACGAATACTACTTAAATGAAAATGCTCAGCTCGACGAGTCCTATCAGAATATGGACGGGACTTGAAATTTAAACAACAAAAAGCCGATGGATCGATTTATGATCTTCTGCGCTCCTATCCTTTATCTGATATCTTGGCTGTTATCGTACTCTTTTTCAAAAACTTCATCTGAAAAACATTAAAAATTAATCACACAGATTGAGTAAAGCGAGTCACAACATTTATCCTGTAGTTAAGAAGAAGTAGTTAAGAACCGGAATCGCGATTCTCTTGTTTTTGGTTCTTTATCGGGAACCGGTTCTCTTGTTTTTGGGTCTTTATCGGGGACCGGTTCTCTTTTTGTTCTCTTCCAGTTCTATTTATGAAGTCACTTCACAAATAGAACTTGCTTGTGTGAGATCTTGCGGTAGAATTAAACGTATGATAGTGGCCAGTGTTACCAAGCGTTTAATGGCATTTTGGTGAAGTATTTTGCAAGATCACATAAAAAAAACCAGAGGGTTTCTCTCTATGTCTCAACAGGTTTATCTGTAGCATCGTATACATGGTCTTTTCCATTAGAAAACAAATCTGCTGGAGAGGTTGCCTCTAAACTCCGTCAATTATTTTTTACTTTTAAACCTACACGTTTGTTACATTCGGATAATGGAGCTGAATTTATCGCACAATATTTGAATTGAAAAGCTTGTTTCCAGACATGTGTTTCATTCAAGGAAGACCCAGACATCATCAAAGTCAAGGCTGTATTGAATGTGCCATTGGTGTTTTATGTATTGCATTGGGTAAATGGTTAGATACGAATAATTCAGTTCATTGGTCAGATGGTCTGCTACCAGTTGTTTATGGAATCAACACAAGAATATCATCAACAACAAAAATGACACCATATGAAATAATGTTTGGTCAATGTCCACGATTGGATTTCGATTTTTGGAAAATTGTAAAAGAATGTGACATAATGGATGAAAAATAATTACCAGCTCCACTGGAACGCGCTGCTGTTGTTGTTGATGAAATTGTTGAACAGCCCACCATAAATGAAACTGTGACTGATGATTTTGATAAACAAAAAGAAAATGATAATTTAACTATAGATAATGTCATTCCTGAAAGTTTTCCGCTTCTAAATACAAATAATAATCCAAATGCAGCTAGTCGGCTTGTCCATGCGGGACGCCGTGACAGTTTTGACACAGTAATCTGAGCTTTTCTCAAAACATGTAAAAGCTAGGCGCTTCGTCCTTGCGCCATTCGACGCAGCTCGCCATACTCTACTTTTGGTATAAGAATGAAGGTATGTAGTTAACGACTCGAATTTTTAGAACCGTTTTTCGGCGCGTGATGCTGTGACAAAAAAGCCCTAAATTCGAAGTTCTTCTCATTAAAAGCTAATTTGCTACGAATTTAGAAGAGCTAATAAATAGCGCCTCAAGCAAAGTTTGTAGAGGAGTATGCGAGCTACTGATTGCTAAAGAAGAATCCTTTCAATGAGCTTTCCATCCTTCAATAGTTGTGTTTTATCTTTGTGACGCTGTAACACACTTGTTCCCAATACAATTTGGAGCACTAAACATTGCTCAAAGGATTTCATTTTCACATCGGACTTAGTTTTAGGCATCTAATATAGAGTAACGTGAAAATAAAGCGGATAAAATGTTTTCACTTTCTTAGGATTGTGTGAGAATCTTAAGATATTATTAAAAAGCTTGTTTTGAGTCTAAACTTCAAAAGAAACATACAATTTTTTCAAAAACTTGGTCAGCGAAGTCTCGAGTTACATTGACAAGCCGTAGTGTTCTTTATCATTCTCTTCATGATCTTTTACCTTCTTCTTCCTGTGATCATTATCATCAACCACAAGGTGCCACATCAAATTCGACAACAGAAAATGTGATTTCATTCGATTCCTCATCAGCACTGCTTCAACCTACTTCTCAATCATCAGGCTTATCTGCAGTGGTGTCGAATTTACGTGGGATAAGACTTTCTGAAGGCTTGTATCCTTAAACAGAGTTTTAAATTTTAAATCAAAAAATTTGAGAGTCGCTCACTCGCTTCGAGAAATGGTCAGTTGTGGCGCCTAACTTAACTACTGTGCTGAGAACGATGAAACTATTAAATATGCCTGGAACCCGCAGGATACTTGTAGTTTGACATGCTGAATCTAATGGTGATTTCACGAGGGAAGGCCCCCGACTGTCAAATCGCTTTTGACGTAAAACTTAGTGAACAATGGGTAACCGAGCATGCTGATTCCGAATATGACGATGGTTTTTGCCAATGCGCCTTTGGAGACGTCGGGTTTTGAAAAACTGGGTTTCCGCAATGAAAAACGTTTTTTATCAAAATTTTTTTTCATCCGTACAAATGAAAGCGCATGCTTTAGTGTTTGTTGAATCGTCGAAGAGTGCTTCGAAATTTGACTATTAAAATAAGACAAGATATGAAAAACAACTGTAGCATTTCATTTTTTGTATGGACTGAAAGCTAAAGAATAAGTGATACTAGCTCTTTACGGGTTTGACAACTTAAGCAATGCCCATGGACTTGTGTGCTCATGAGTCGAGAAATAATTCTCTACTTTATAAAGATTTCTCTAGAAATTTTCCACTGTTATTTTTAGTTATCGTTTATTTTTTGCTATTGAAAATTCTGCTTTTGTTAAGTAAATGGCCGGCTCATGCCATTCTTCGTTACTATACATCAATCTCTAACTGGATTAACGTATGTAAAAACTATATGTTTATTATAGAACGATGATTTGATAGTTTTGATCACGAAATTCCAACAATAAAAGAACATTCAACAGTTGGCACCGTGGTTTACTTTTCGAATATTTTATCAACATCAATAAATATAGCTCAAAATGGCGAATTTGCTACCAAAAAATTTAGATTGTATATATTATTAAAAGTAAAACTGGCCGATCAATTACGAATTATTCAGCATATCCAAATGAAGGGGAAGTTCTGTTCGCACCGTGTACAAAGTTTAAAGTTTTTAAACAAGCAGAAACAATTAATGGAAAAGAACATTATTACATAAAAGAAGTTACTTAGCCCGATTACTGTTACTACACATTGTAAAAAAGTATTTATCGTCTTAATAAACATCATTACATAGTATATAAGACTAAAATAACATGAAAAAGATCAATTTTGATATTGTAAATATTGATTAACATTTACTTACAAATAGGCATGCACCAACACCAACCACTATTGAAGATATGGTACGATATTATGAGATATCAAATTATGTTGGGTCCCGATATTATATACTCAGTATATTAGGACCAATAATATTGGGTTCCACAATACACTGAATTACTACTTTTAACCTTAATATCACTTATATTCATAAAAACGTGAGGAAGCATATCTTCATCAAGCTATATATCCCAACTGGGATATAAAAATGTATCGCGATTGGGATTAGGTATCCACTGATTAATAATCGATGTTAGGGCATTCAGGAAAGTCGTTCCACATCAGTTATAAAAAAGCACTAAGAGCTGCCGAATGACATTTTGTAGAAAATGTTTGCTCTACCAAACTAAAGTACACGAAAATTTTTTAATATTATTTATGACAAAAATATAAGCATCCAAAACTAAACAAAATTGCGAAATAATCGACTATCGATTATTCTTCTACGATTTTAGACGTTCTCTAAGTGCTTTTTATAACTGATGCGGAACGACGGAGCTTGAGTTGAATTCTAGTCTTGGTAATTATGCACCGTTGAAGAGGGTGCGACAGAACGGTTCCATCATTTATCAAGAAGAAGTTTTAAATGTTACCAAATTCACAACAATACATGAGCGAAATTAGTATTTTTAATTGTTGCTGAATAGGCATTTAAACAGAAAGCCATGCAAGAAGAGCAAAGTCTTATAGCCGGATTTACTATAAGTGTCTGAATCAAGTTTCATAAGATCTTGAGTAGCTTTTCTGAATTATTCAACTCAGCACGAAATCAAATATCCATTACTGAGCATAAAACAGTTTGCGATTGATAGCAAAAGGTGCTCGCAGATAAGATTCACATAAATCGATCGGCCAAACTCAGTCTGATTCGGCAAATGAAGTTTTTCTCTTTTACAAAGTTGCAAGATAGACTACGCGAAAAAGCTGTGCACTTAGTAGTAGAAGCTGCTCAATATAATTCAACAAACATAAGATACGTAAATCAATTCTAAGAAATCATTGTGTTATTCAGTGTGAACAACTTTCTACCCATGAAGCTTTTTTTGGTTGATAGTTTTGACATACGACTAAACGGTGTTTCAAGACCATTTAAGGTTCTAGATACCACCAGGAACTCTCTAGTTGTTTTTTGCTTTTTGTGCGTTACGCATTCTTTTCCAAGGCGTTAATGAGAAAGGTGGTAATAGAATGCAAGTTGTCGGATATATAGAAATATGTAGAATTTACTAACTATCATGGTGCGGTAACCACGAATATGAGCAAAAGCATTTTGAGCAAAAAATTAGTTAAGGAAAAGCACTTTGAGCAAATGGAAGATAAGCAACTAGAAAATGAGCAAAATTGCTTTGAGCAAATTTTCATTTTTGAAGCAAAAATATGAGCAAAACTGTAAAGTACATTGGAAGAACTAAAGAGAAAAAACAGAAAGAACAATTTTCAAATTGTTGTGTATTATCCATTCTTTCATTAAAATATCATTACTCTGCTTAAATTTACGATATAGATGATGTTCTTAAATGACTAAACTTTTTGTTTTTTGCACTACATATAACTTGCAGAGCCCTGATTTAAAAGTGAAGTGAAAGAGAATAAAACTTTTATCTTATTTATAGTTCGAACGAGCAACGCAGCGTCGTTATGGTATTGTTCACCAATAAACTTTTAAATTGATTTAATTTCAAGTCATTAATCATTTCATATCAACTCATTAATACTACCGGGAAGGTGGAGTCTCTAATTTTGTTTCAGCACCTCTAGAGGTGATTAAAAGCTTTTCGACTCAGACTATTTTCATCATGTAGGGAATAGTCAGTAGTGAAAAACCCCAAGTTGGTTTGGGCCCATGCGCCTTTTTGACGGAGATATGAGTTAATTAATGAAAAT